TTGGCTTCCTGTAAGGGGTGGTCTGAAGGCAGCCAGCTTTGAAGATGACAGTGGTGTCAAGAAAATTTACACATGTAGGTAATACGCAGGTTTATAGAAGGATGGAAATTTGCAATAGATGGAATCTCATGAGTAACTTCTCTCTATGGACGTAGTTCAACAAAATGCTCTCATTATTCCTTAAGGTAAAGAAAGCTCCTATATAACTGCTCAAAAAGGTGTACCAGGTTTGCCACAAGCAGATTTGTAGAAAGCAGAAATCCGTGTGGGGAGATCCAAAGTATTATCACCCTGTGCCATGAATCTTATAAAATGACTTTGTGTCAATCCCCCTCCCCTTATCTGTCTGTTTTTTTTGTTACCTGTTTGTTACCTATTACACAAAGATACAAAAGCTCTCTCCAATTTTTAGTTTGACAAGCCTAGGAGGAGCTTAATAGAGGAAAGTGATATAACTATTTTTGTGGTATAGCCTGCACAACTATTCCTGGGTATAATTTTCAGCGCCTTGTGTGTAACCGTGGTAGTGTGGCATATTTTTAAATATACTTTGAGTAATGGATTTAAAAGAACCTTCAAGCCAGGAGGAGATGTGTGTATGTTGGTTGTTTTAAAAGCTGTGTCTCTCAAGTCATCTACAAGAGGATGTTGGTCATCTACATGAGGATGTTGTAAAAACACCAGGCTATAAGGCTGAATCCTTCTGTAAGATGAGCTGTCTGGATTTTGGACATGCAGGATTGCTTCCTCATTTTTTTCTTGGTGCCACTGCATTTGGCAGATCATCTGATCGTTATTTTCCTCTATGTTGGTTAGTTTTCTCGGAGATGCATATCATCTCCTGTGGAGTTCTCTTTTCACTTCTCTTTGGAAAGGAGAAGGAGAATAGCTGTTGAAGTAGGTGGTTGTTCCAAGTTGTGTGCCAGTCTTGAGAATTTGCCAAAAGCCAGTCAAAATAGAGGGTCTGTGTTTTGTCAGACAGGAGGTATTTCCAATCCCACCGCTGTTCTTTTGGCCCTTCCTTGCACAAACTCTGATTTTTCAGCTTTTAACAACATATTCAATGACATCTCAGTAAAATCTCAAATCCAGTTGACTTAATGTTGCCATTTTCTTTCTGCTGCTATTTCTCTCCACCCCACTCAACTCTCTATTTGTACATAGCTAGTATTAAAATTTACTAAATATGTTATGACACCATATTTACACTATTCCAGAGCCCAAGGACCTTTGAAGACCTCTATGGCTCCTGGTCTCTAGGAACAGATGGGCCTGTGCTGCAGTGCATACCTATGCAAGCTGCCCAGAGTGGAAAGATTTACTTTATTTGCCTGAACCTTTTAACAGGAACAGAACACATTAGGTAATATTCCAAGAGCTTTATTTAGACTGCTGAATTCACAGGGGCTGTGTTACAGTTGGTCTTCTCTGGTAATGACATTTGTGTGCATAGAGAGAACAGTAAGTTTCCTGTAGGTTTGAGCTCTGGATTAATGCAAACCCGAGATCCAAATTCAGCAAAATGGCATGAAAAAGCCATTTTAGTATAATGAATTAAGCCATAACTAGCTTTTATACTCATTAATGGTTTTGCAGTTTGATTTCTTTAACCACCATCATTATTTATTTCCCATCCACCTCTTCCTCTGGATCAAATAGGGAACAACAACAAACAATGTAACACCAATGCATATTAAAATCTATCAATCAATACTTAAAAATATATAATTTAAAAATCTCTACTAGAAGATCACTTCACCATCTGGGAGTGGCAAAAGAAAATGTATCTGGGTAACAGTCAGCCTAGTGTTTCCTATGGTAGAAGGCAATTGTGTAGATAACTTGGATCTAAACTATGTAGGGCTTTAATGGCACTACTGACTTGGTTGTCATTTAGAGTGATGGCTCTAGGAGCACAACTAGAACTAGTTGGCACACCTACAAAACAAGGTTAGGACCCTTGATGGTAAGCACCTCTGCCTTGTCTGGATTCAGTTTCAGTTTGCTTGTCCTCAACCAACCCATTACCACCTCTAGAGATTCATTTAAATGGGACATACTGCCTTTAGCTGATAGTATTATTGAAGGCATAGAGATTTATATTTAGGTGTCACCAGCATACTGATAGCATTCTTTGCCATGCCTCCAGGTGATCTTTCCAGTGGTTTCATGTAAATATTAAGCAACAGCATTGGAAACAGAATGGCACCTTGTGGTAATGCCATACAACAACTCCTTTTGGGAGTAGAAACCCTTATAATTACAGCTGTATATATTGTGCTAGTTACTCTTTGCATGATACAGAGCTAAAATGTTTCTTTTTTTGTCCAAACTGCCACTCCCTCCTAATCATAGAGCGTTCAACAATCAGCTACTAGTCTCAGATAGAGTAGATACATTAAATCAATTGTTGAATGATAGCTCCACATTTATATAAGCACCACTGATTTGATGACTCTTCTGTAGTTGAGTCTAGCAGTTGAATTCAGATCACTATTCAACTCTTCAAACTCTTCTAGCATTGTGTCACCCCTTTGTGTATTCTCTTGTGGACTACCAAGGATGAAGGATTGGGACGGGAAATGAATAGAGTAAGCCACTGCAAGATAAAAATTAGAAATGGCAGAATATCTTCAGCTCAGATATAGGGTTTCAGCATAAAGCAATAGTCATGACAGTTCTGATTCTGAATTCCACATTGGAGCATCAACAACAGCTCAGTTGTTGATGCTGTGTAGTGGGGCTTCATGTTACATGAGCTGAAAAACAGTACTCGGTTTACAGGATTTCAAGCAGAGTTGGTTTGAGCACCTGCTACTCAAGAGAGGAAGCATGAGATGTCATTGTGCTATGTAATCCCAGACTCAGGCTGTGACCATCCTCATTTCAAACTACAGATTCAGTACTGTTGTTGGTCCCAGTTAATTCTCCTTAAGTGCCTCTTCTGGCATATAGCATATTATGACTAAAACTATTTCAGCAATGCCCGGTGAAATATTAGAAGGTGTATGCATATGTTGCTTGAATAAAATTCCGAGTACCTGACTACATAGCTTTTTATAACTTGTTGCTGCTCACTTAAGAATGACACAAAAAGGATAATTCTTTATCATTCTTTATCCTTAGCTTTGATAATTTACACTACAATACCGCATAGTTTAAGCAATGGTATTCCCCACAGTCTCCTACGGATGTGAGAGCTGGATCATAGGGAAGGCTGAGCAAAGTGGTGCTGGAGGAAAGTTCTGAGAGTGCCTTGGACTGTGAGAAGATCCAACCAGTCCATACTTCAGGAAATAAAGCCTGACTGCTCATTGGAGGGAAGGATAGTAGAGGCAAAGATGAAGTACTTTGGCCACATCATGAGGAGACAGGAAAGCTTAGAGAAGACAATGATGCTGGGAAAATGGAAGGAAAAAGGAAGAGGGGCCGACCAAGGGCAAGATGGATGGATGGCATCCTTGAAGTGACTGGCTTGACTCTGAAGGAGCTGGGGGAGGTGACTGCCAAAAGGGAGCTCTGGCGTGGGCTGGTCCATAAGGTCATGAAGAGCCGGAAACGACTGAACAAATGAACAACAACAATTGTATTGTCTACTCAGCACTTAGCCCTACTAAGGACAGTGAAATTCAATCCTGAATAAGTAGATCGAGGATGGTACCCTAATACAATACCATTTGTTCTGATACAGAATTTAATGTATTTCAGTGCAGAAATATGGTGCTGTCATTGACTTTAGGAGTCTGCATTCTGGGGTTGCTTTTGCATTTTACTTCCTTGTCAGAATGAAAAATATTAAGGCTTTGCAAAGCAAATGCTGTGTACTAAATGTTTCACATGCTTTCCAAGGCAATGATGTATGGAATGCATGCTAAATTGTGTGAAGAACAATCCTCATATAAACCAATCTGTTGGCTGTTACGATTGTGTGCAGCAATCCCCAAGATGTTTTCTTGGTAGTAGTACTGTGGCTACTCTCAAGTAAACTTGTATGTAATTGCAGCCAAAAATAAGTGCTGTGACTGCTAAGCTGGAAGCATCCTAAATATCAACAGGCTGAAATTTCATGGCTGCAGGCAAAAACAACCTCTTGAACTGAAATGACTCCAACAAAATACAGGCTGTGAAACTGGAAATCCAGCTTTATTTTCTTAATAGTCACAATTAGAAGCACGTGGTGGTTTTTTTTAAAAGCCTGGTGATTTGTGAGTCCAACGGCTAAGTAGAAATATTTATAAATGATTAGTTTAATTTGTCTGTTGCATTCATTAGAGGAGACCGCAGGCAGCTGGGAAATGGTATATATAGAGAAAGAAGCTCATAAAAAGAAGGGAGACTGAACGGCAGCCAATGGGGGCAGTTAATCCATAAGCAGTGCAAGGATGCTGGTCAAGGACCAAACTTTGTGTCGGGTTCCCCCCCCCCTCATGCCCTTTTCTCTGGGCCTCATCAAGCAACTTGTCCTTTTGTATTAATCCAAGCATTTTTTTTAAAAAAAGAAGGTTTGCTTAATTAAAAGCCTGTGTTTTTTTCCATCAAGTGAGAGAAAACCAGCCACGTTCTTCTGACTCAGAAGGAGGGCTGGGAAAGCCTGATTAGGTCTTGCCCTGACAATTCAGTCCACTGTTTAAAGCAACGACAGTTGAGCCCTCTGTTCATTCAAGTGAATGCAGTTCACTCAGTAGAACATTCAGTCCAGAAAGACCCCAACAAAATGAAAGGCTGTACAGGAAGGAGAAGAGGGATAAAATCTGGGGGCACATAGAGTTTCTTGGCAAACTCTTTTCCCCCCACAAAAGCCTTCCTCGCCAAAGTGAACATAACAAAATATTCTTTTTGGCAAATATTTCTTGCAGGATTAAACACACACACACACGAACATAGAAGGGGAGAAAGAGAAGAATTTTGAGTATTCTTTCTAGAAATGTGCTGAAGCCCTACTTGCTGGGGGGTGGGGAGTGCAATTTTGAAACAACAGCTTTCCTTTGCTTCTCTTACAGATTACAAAAAGGTACCTGAATCTGCTATCCTCAATGAGAACTATAGATGCTGGCCATCCTACCATCATAAGGGATGTCTCCTTTCTGTGTTTGACATTAATGAAGCCATTGAGGTTTGTGAGAGCCATTCGCAGTGCAAAGCTTTTGTTCTCACCAATCAAACAACATGGACAGGTAACAGACAATAACAATTCATCTGTGATGATGATAATAATATAATAATAATAGTACTGATTTTATTTCTTACCCGCCTCTCCTCGTGGCTTGAGGCAGGTCAGAGAAGATAACCAGCAAGATAGGTGCATTTAAACAACATGGGAAAATTACTTTTTCGCACCTCAACTCCCCAAATCTCCCAGTCAGCATGGTCAATGGGAGCTTTGTGATGTCATGGTCCAAAAAAGTAATATTTACAAACACTGGCTTGAAATTTGCAAGAGGTCTGTTTTGCTGGGGGTTTTTTTTGGCACAAAGATCACTACTGTCAGGATGTATATGATAAAAAATGAGATGAATAAAACTAAAATCTCAATAAAATGCAGTGGCAAAAGGTAGAATTTAAAAATACATTTGGAGATTAAAACAGGAACAAGGCAGCTAATACAAATATTGGAAACCAACTATAGTGCTGTAAGAGTGCAAAGCACATCAGAGTGAAAAATATAAAATACGAATTATCAATAAATATCTGTGTCTGTATGTGTGTGTATAAATCTTATATAAATAAGCGTGTGTACACATAGATTCTTATTGATGTGCATGTGTATAATGTACATACTTAGACAGAAATCAATAAATATCAATGTATATTTTGTGTATACACACATACACATAACCCACATACAATGTCATTAGAGAATGGAAAGAGTTTTTCTAGTCATCAGCCTGGAAGGCTTTAGTGAAGCAGTTTCACCATCAAGGGGCCTGCCAAATTTCAAATAAGTGGCACTTGTGTCATGACCTTGAATGATGGCCATGACCCAAGTAGACTTACAAAACCTGTCATGGCAATATCCACAGCTGAACATGAGGTTGCTAGTGCTGGCTCTTGAGAGTGTTGGCATTGAGGAATCCACTTTCCTTTGTGTTAAAAGTGTAGGCAGAAGGTAGAGGAAGGACAAGCAGCTGCAAAAGTAATTCTGCCAGATACATTCCAGCGCCTTTACTTTATCAGTCATGATGAGTTCCGTGGAGATTAGTGTGTTTGTGTGCTGGGAGACTACATCCAGCTGGATGAAATGTGAGCAGGAGCTTCCTTTGACAAGTAGAGTATTTTAACCACCAGAAGATGCTAAGGACTGCAATCTTACTCTAAGGACAGCCTCAGATGACCTCAGGGAAAATTGTGCTATGCATGTTGCAGAGGTCATATATGTTGCTGATGGCAGCCTTATTTATTATTAACACTGAACATGCACAAGAAGGCATCTTACAAGAAATCAAACAAAATTTAAAAATCATTGCAGAACTTTTGTTAGCCCCACAAGTTATGATAGTACATTTTCAGCCAAAAATCTGACTTGAAAGATTTTAATCACTAGGATTTTTTGGCCAGTTGGGTGGATAATTTTTGACCATTTGAGGAAGGGTCAGTATTGTTTATTCAGGTCATTTTTGAATGTTTTCTCTGCTCAACATTTTATGTTAGAAAGGCCCAGGAGTTTCAGGGAGCTTGCAGGAAGGTCACAAATAGAATTTGGGATGCTGACATTCTATCTGTTTCAATTTCTGGCTCCTAATATGCATTTGAGGAAAGCTTGCCAGAAACCTTTTACAGTTTAACCTGGATACTATGTTAATTACTATCATGTGAAGCTCAAAGCTAAAATTTGAGAATGCACTTTTCAATCTTATTTGGGAGTTAATCTCCTTTTTTGGGAATCCACGGATGATTTCCAGCTTCTCACACCAGTGCTGAAATTTTGCATACCTTTTTTTATTTTTAACAGCCACATTGCAGAAATTATATGTTTAATCAAAATTAAATACAAAGCATTGGTATGATTACTTCCTCTCCCTCCCCATCCCAAAATCTACACTTATATGTATATATAAAACACATATACTTCAGAACAGTGCCTATAATAATTATTCCCAATGACTATTTCTGCCTTCACCTCTCCCGTTGCAGTGACCCTTGTCCTTTGGGTTGAAGACATTCATATACAACCTTACCCTTTCTTCTTAGTAAAACATTCACCCATTCTTCCCTCTAGCACAAGAATCATCACCTAAAAATTACAAGCAAAACTTCTAACAAAGCCCAAATTATGGAGCCTATTCTAAAATGATTTCCCTTCTTCCCACAAAGTTCAAAGATTATTCCCATTCCTTATCAAAGTTCTTCTCGATTTCCTCCTCATAGCCAATTTATCCGTATCCCTCATTTCAAAAACTTTCACTATCCATTTTCTTTTTTTCTTTTTCTTTTTTCTCCTTCATCTCTATCTCCTGTCTCTTTGCCTTTTTCATCTCCCTTTTCTAATGTTGTATCTTTAGTGCTAAAATTTTGTTAGGAGCCTTGACTTGTTGGACCACACTGCATTTGCATACACATCTATATAAAGAAAAATGTAATGTTCTGGGTTGTTGTAGGTTTTTTTGGGCTATATAGCCATGTTCTAGAGGCATTCTCTCCTGACGTTTCACCTGCATCTATGGCAAGCATCCTCAGAGGTTGTGAGGATGCTTGCCATAGATGCAGGTGAAATCTCAGGAGAGAATGCCTCTAGAACATGGCCATATAGCCCGAAAAAACCTACAACAACCCAATGAATCCAGTTATGAAAGCCTTCGACAATACAATAATAATAAATGTAATACAATGTAATGTTCGTTTGTGGGATTAACATAACTCCAAAACCACTGGACAAATTGACACCAAATTTGGACACAATACACCTATCAGGCCAACGAGTGACCATCACTCATAAAAACACTGAAAAACACAGCAGAAGAGACTTAAAAAGCCAAAAAATAAAAATACATTACAACACATGCAGAAAACCATATATATACACGTAAACACACATATATACACATATACACAAATATATACGCACACAAAACACATATACACAGACTGGGCCGCAGCAACGCATGGCAGAGGATGGCTAGTATACTATGAAAAGGGAAATTCCACTTATTTCTCCTATCTCACTCTTTTTAAAGCAAACTTACCCATGTGGGAGAAGTGACCCAATGTTCTGCCAAGGCATGCCAGGGGTTGGGGCAGACTCGGTATGAAGAGCCACTCATTGCTCAAGATTCAGTTGAGCCATTGTACTAAGGAGCTTCTTCCATCTGCAGAGTCATAGGAAGACATTTTTCCCCTTCCCACTACATGCCCTGTGCACCTTCAAATATCTGGAGAAAGTTTCTACATAGCCCAGCAGTCTGAAAGTGTAGTTAGGAGAATTTCTGGCCACCCTTGTTAACATCTGATGATGGATTCAGCCCACTATTGCTCTGAACAACAACTCCTATATTTTAATTACTGGTATTAGGCTGTTCTTGTGTTGGACTGGGCTACAGTGGACTTTAGTGAGTTTAAAGGATTTGATTAATATTACTGTTTGTTTTAATGTTGGAAACTGTAAATAGATTCACAGAATATAGAGAGTCACAGTTCACTTTTGGCATTTTGAAACTCAAATGGCAGTGATATGAATGATTGCATTGTTCTAATTATGTATTGCTTATTTCCTTCCCCATCTGAAAGAGATTGGAGGCAGTAATAATGTTTAATTTATAACACTCCCAACTCTAGTGGAGCCTCTTACTTCCTACCCTAAAACAACAGACTCAATTCTGAATCAGTGTATGTGTGCGCCTGTGTCCACACATTCACATGTGCACACTTTCAAGTTGGCTGTCGATTTATAATGACTTCATGAAATTTACAGGGCTTTCTTAGTTTTTTATACTCTTCCCAGTTTTTGCTTACTGATAGTCTTTAAGGCAGTGGTTCCCAACCTGCGATCAAGTAAAATATGGTCCTCAGTCTCACCGTTATTACACCATTGCAACAAGAATGACTGGTCTTGCAAAACCCTCTTATAGTTCAGAGGCTTATTAAATATGGTTTTCTGTGGATGAGTAGATGGCAACTACTGGGTGGCATATGTTCTATATAAGAAACAAGAGCTGATGCAGTCTATCCAATGCAATTTTCTGAATCAGCATCCCAAATAACCAAACCGAATCTAAAGTTGACCAAAAACTTTGGAGCCGCAGTGGGACAATGGGTTAAACCCTTGTGCCAGCCAAACTGCTGACCTAAAAGTCGGCAGTTTGAATTGGCGAGATGGGGTGAGCTTCCATCTGTCAACCCCAGCTTCCCATGTGGGGGCATGAGAGAAGCCTCCCACAAGATGGTAACACATCCGGGTGTCTCCTGAGCAACGTCTCTGCAGATGGCCAATTCTCTCATACCAGAAGTGACTTGCAATTATCTCTAGTCATTTCTGGCATGATAAAAAACAAACAAACAAACAAACCAAAAACTGTTTTGTAACCCTTTTGGTACTAATGTTGGAAAGTGGTCCCTGGTCAAGTGGTTCCTGGCTAAAAAAAAAAAAAAAGATTGGGAACCACTGCTTTAAGAAGAAACATTCTCAAGGGATAGAAGTGTGGTTTTGATTTGGTGCATCATTTATAAAAGAAGCAGGCATGCTGAGAGGACCAATTTATTTTCAAGAGATTTTTCTCATCATCTTCTCCCATGTTTTTAAACATTGTTACTGCTTCTTCTTTGTTTTCCACCAAGGTCGTCAGCTAGCCTTCTTCAAGACGGGATCCACTTCCATGGTGCCTGATCGTGACAAGACAACATATGTGAAAGTGACAGATTGAAAGCAAGTGTGTCCAATTAAGTTTATTTTGTGTAGGCTTACGCAGAAGTAAGTCCTAAGTTCTGATAGGTCCCTAGTAAGTGTGCATAGGACTGGAACCAGCAAATTTGAAATATGACAGAGATTTGCATGTCAATGTAGTATGTGGTTGCATGCAAAGAAGCTGAGGATGGAGAGGAAATTGCACTAACACTTACTCTAATCTACAGAATGTGGAACCAAACTTTAAAGAAGAGACATGCATGACCAGGACAAATGTGCAATAGGACAACATTTTAAAAATGTGACTTTTTTGTAGAAGCAGAATGAAATCCAAAATGTGATACACTTTGAGGCTTGCCATAGGTTGTTTTGAAACAACAGGCACCCCAAGTGTGCTTTTCCTTCTAGGCTTACACAAACGATGTAAAATTTTGCATAGGAATGCTAGGAAATTTTTCCATTCCCCAGGGAGTTTGGGATCTTCTGTTCAGATATTTATGCAAGCAAGTACAATCATTGCAGTTAACTGTCTTGTGTTCCAAAGCTAAACATCAAAACTTCTGGAAGACAATCATGACTTCTGTTCCTTGTACCAAATATAGAAGACATAACCTTATGATGTTCCTTGGGTCAAGATGGCATTGAAAAAAAAAAGAATTTCAATTAGGTTGAATCTGGAGAGGGAGGAAGGAAGGAAGGAAGGAAGGAAAAACTGGAGGAAATACATAGGATATGAACCTAGCCGAGATGTATACATTAATCACAAGAGAGTACAAGTTGAGTATCTCTTATTGCATAAACACACACCTAATGAGATATCTTGGAGCTGAGGTCCAAGTCTAAACAAGAAATTCACTTTTGCTTCATATACACCTTATACACATAGACTGAAGATAATTTTAAATAATATTTTAAATAATTTTGTGCATGAAATAAAGTTTGTATGCACTGAACTATCAGAAAGCAAAGGTGTGACTTTCTCAGTTGCCTTTGTGGATGAGTTTGGAGTCTTTCAGAATTTGGAATTCTGAATAAGGGATGCTCAACCTGTATTTAAAAAGTTTATTCAATTGATTTTATCCATCTTAATTGATCAATCAACATACATTTCTCAATGGGAAAGACAAAGTTTAAAATATACTTACCTAGATATTGAACCATCATTATCATCACTGCCATTATCACCATTGTCATCTTTCTGATGTTAGAGAAGATATTTCTCCCATCCTCTCATTTTTTTTTACTCTAGGGGGATTTAAAATTGTACTTAATAGCTGTATGGAGCTGGAAGGCATCTCTTTAGATCTGTGGAGTGAATCCTGCACCCCATAGATCCTGTCTGGGATCCGAAAACTCTTTTTGTAATCATACCCTCCTTTTGGGCCTTCAGCACTTTCCAATTAGAAACAAGAGCACCCTCCTTAAAAACTGCAGCTTACAGTAAATCTCCTTTTTTGGGAATGCATGGGTTCACCTTTAAAAGATGCATCTTTTACTGGATTTTTTAAAAAGCTATTTCCAAAAGTGGTGCTGGATTTCCACCTATTTCTATATAGATTTTTCCCATTAGGTGAGTCTGTGTTCCCCTCGCGCAGTGGTTCTCAACCTGTGGGCCCCCAGGTGTTTTGGTCTACAACTCCTAGAAATCCCAGCCAGTTTCGCAGTGGTTAGGAGTTAAAGGTCAAAACATCCGGGGACCCACAGATTGAGAACCACTGCCCTAGCAGGTACCCAAGGCAAGACCCCTGGATTCTTGGGCCATGCCAGTGCCTTGTTATGTTCATCATCTAATAAGTTATTTAACACATATTTCGTCAAGTTAATAAGGATATGTTTTTTACCAGTTTAAATTTTTTTATCAGATAGGCATGGCCAAATTTCGGCCCTTCAGGTGTTTTGGACTTTAACTTCCACAAATCCTGACAGCCTACTGGCTGTTAGGAATTGTGGTAGCTGAAGTCCAAAACACCTGGAGGGCCAAAGTTTGCCCATACCTAAATTAGACTAATGATTCAGCTAAATGTTGCAACCCTAGAATGTGACTGTTTAACTAGCAAGATGTCTGTGATTACAAGAGAGATCTGTACATTGCAGAGTCCCAAAGGGTCATTCTGAACTTGAGGTCAGTCCAACAGATGTACTGTATTTCTCCCCATACATCTACAAAACAGTGTCCCAATCTTATCTGCAACAATTTAGTTTTCCCATATGTGTGAACGGAAACAATGCCCTTGAAAAATGTTTTGTAAGACCCTTTTCATGCATGAGCTAGCCATACCCTTTTTTAGGGAAAGAGATAGCAGCATTACTTTGTTCATACTTCATGTAGCTTGTTCAGCTTAGTATATAATGTAATGGGAACCAACAACAATTGAACCCATATCTATCCATACAGTTGCTCTTGAGATCCATTTTCTTGCTCATGATAGAATGGAACACAAGAGCTATTCTGACTCAATAGCTTAGCTGCAAGTGTGATGTTGTGGGAAAGTTCTGTAGCTATCTCTATTTAATCAGTACAGTGTTCCCTCAGCATCTCGTGGCTCGCTTACCGCGGACTCACTGTTTTGCGGGTTTTCTTGAGCAGCCTGACGAGGCCTTCTCCACCTGGGTGTCCTCCGCTGCCTGGCAGAGCAGAGACCCAAGGCACGGTGGGAAAAGCCTGCCTCCTTGGCCTGCTGTTGCCTGTGTGGCTCTGGAGGTGAAAGGACCTCGGCAGAGTGGCAGCCTGAGGTGTGGGGTGGGGAAGGCCTGCCTCCTTGATTAAAGTAATGTTAAAAAATTAAAATAAATACAGTGTCCATACTTCATGGAATTTCACTTACCATGGGTGGTCCTGGAATCCAGGTAAACCTTGTAAAATGTCATGCAACAGTAGGTGAAAAACGATAAATTCCCAGGAGCTGAGGAGCCATGTTTTCTCTTCAGAACAAGTATAGCACTGAGAGAGAAGGGAGGAGCTATTGCATTACATCTAGATGTACAGAAAGCCAAACACAGTATCACAGATGCCCGGGGCATGACAAGAGCATAAGAGACAAAATGCAGGAAATGTTTTTTGGATATACATCATGAATTTAAGGATTATTGTGATATGAGACATGTTCATTTCATTGAACAGTATCATCTAAGTCAATAAGGATTATTCATCAAGTTTTTGGAATGGGATCTGTTTTTTGGTGGGCATTCTGCAGGGTTGAAGTCTGAATGAATCTAAAGGTTTGAATACTCAGGTTCCTGGAATGGCATAGCTCTACTAGGGACTTTGCTGTGAAATATATTCTGGATCACAATTGGATCCAACTGCTAGAGCTGTCCCAAAGCAAGCAAAATGGACAGTTCATGTTAAATTAATTTCTGCATATCATAATGTTCAAAGCATTTGGGGAGAAATATGTTCTTCATGTTGTTGTCATATGTCAAATTAAAACTGGCCATTTTCTTTAACAATGTTTCCATGATCCACTGGCAGAGCAGCTAACAATAATGAACAGCACAATATTTCAGGGGTATCTTACGACCAAATATACCTTTCTACTAGTGGATCTTTGGTGTTTTGGTGGTACTAATTGATAGTTTTAAGAACAAATGAGCATAACAAGCAGTAAATGAACCCAAGCCTTAATGCAATAGAAATAGTGAGATCTTTTCATACGCAAAGTGTGTCTAGATAATATGCTTTCAGTGAAAGCAATCAAGGAAATGTTAAAAATGACTAATGTCATGCTGTTTTCTAGTTTGTACATTCAAGAATCTTTTGTACTTTTGTTCTTAAATTGTTTATTTTTGCAAAAAAATAAAAGGAAATGGAAACTGTTTTTTGTTGTCGTGGTAATTCTTTTTTCTCCTGTATTTTAGTTTAAAGTAAGATTTCTTCAGTTAACTTCTTTGGAGTCAGTGGCTGTAAGGGAAATGAAATGATTCTCTTTTATACAATGATCATGTGGTTCACCATATTGATGTGATTTGTCTTATTCTTGGATAGACTGCTTTATCAAAAACATTCAGTGGGCTTTACTGTAGCAGAGCAGAAGCTAAACTGAAATCTACTGGGAAATCTTTGTGATCAGAAGCAATTTCAAAAATTCCCAATGGTTTAATAAAAGCAAAAATTTGAGAAATTTACTGATTTGAACCTCAACATGTCTACTATGGCTGACTGAAATTGCCAGACTTGTAGGCCAAAAGAAATCTTTCAAGGTCTGAAGAAAACTATTATCTTCCAAGTTGAGTTAAAAAGCTTTGATAAGAACTAGAATTCATGTGAAAAGACAAAGATCAGTTTTAATTTTGGGGACAGATTTCAGCTGAGTTCTTATTTGCACAGAAACCTCTCTGAAATTCCAGCCAGTTTACCAGCTGTTAGGATTTTTGGGAGTTGAAGGCCAAAACATCTGGGGGGACCCACAGGTTGAGAACTACTGTTCTAGAAGGAACAATAAATCCACATACTTGAAGTCTGCCATGTCAGTGTACAGAGCTTAATGGAAATAAAAAGAGGGTGTTGTGTACAAATCACCAGTACAGAGCAAATGAGGGTCACCAAAAAAATTGTAGACCTGCTGAATTTTGCAGAAGCCACTGGAAAACCAAGGTATTTCAAGATTGATTTGATAAATGATCCAAGGAAGTGAAAGACTGGATCAGCTTGAGTCTGTTCCACAGTTGGTAGTAGTTTATTCAAAGCTCTTTCCAGACCAAACAATAGCAAAAATACTGCCATCTCGAAAGGTTTAAACCATCAAATAATAACATTTTGCACTGTTGTAGTACTTAAGGGAATGTGGTGCAATGGGTTTGTGCTGGCAGAATTGAAGACTGACAGGTCAGAGGTTTGAATCCGGGGAGAGCATGGATGAACTCCCTCTATCAGCTCTAGCTCCCCATGCGGGGACATGAGAGAAGCCTCTCACAAGGATGGTAAACCATCAAAACATCCTGGCGTCCCCTGGGCAACATCCTTGCAGACGGCCAATTCTCTCACACCAGAAGTGACTTGCAGTTTCTCAAGTCACTCCTGACATGAAAAAAAAGTACCGTACTTGAGGATCTGAAACGCAAATCACCTTTTTTTGTTCCTTCACTAAGCATTTTAAATATATTAGGCCATCCTATTGAATGTGATGCTGGTTGAGCATATGGATGCCTGTGGGCCTCATGTAGGCATGGCAGGGTTATTTCTGACCATTGGGGTATAATTTGGGGGGGGGGGGGGTTAGTGGAAAAGGTTTCAGGATGAAGGATAGTTTTGCACTTTAGTCTTTGGACTTGAAGTGACAATCACTCTCTCACAATCATTAGAAGCCTCACTTATGTTCACAGAAAATTGTGGCTGGGGTAGTATGGTCCACTAGTTGGTGAATGATGCCATGGCCCTTAACATATGAACACTCCTTGCCTAGAGTTTATGGCAGAAGCAATATTTGAATTTGTGATACCTTCTTAACTTACACTTTCCTCTTTGCTATGCTGTACCATGCTCTTTCTCTTTGTGCCATAAGGTTAGAGATGACTAAGAATGTAAAAGGTGGACATACCTTTGTGTCATGTGGTGATGTGGCTATGACTGTTTTCAATAAGACTAAGGGCACACATATTTAATTTCCACTCAGCTCTGAAGTGGCCTTCACCAGGCACATTTAATTTCTGCTATCTTGTAGATTTAACATGAAGATATCTTGAGCACCTTGCAGAATTGGTGAGTTATAAACATACACTGGCATTCTGTTAAAATTACAGAATAATACCCTACAGTTATGGATTCATAGCTGCTACATATCCAGTAGCACTATGTAGTCACAGTCGTAGCATTACTGTCATCATTGTAAATGTCCACCAAACCCAAATTAATAGCCAGCATCTGCACTTAGAAAAGGAGAGTGGAAATATCATCCTCCTTGCATTCTCATCACCAGCTGAATAAATCATCTTTGCTAGATGAAGTTGCTGTCTGTTAAGGTGGGTTTGGGGAGTTCGTACAAAGAGAGATTGTTATGGTTACTCATAAATAAGAAATGTAAGGTATCAGAAGCAAGAAATAAAACCGACTTCAACTTTTATCCATATAATTTCAAAAATCCATAGAAAACAATTGTTTCCTATAGACATGTCTCTGTGTTATAGTGTTGGACAAGGATCAGGACTCCAGGAGCCCAGGATCGGAATCTCTGCTTAGCTATGGAAACCCACTGTGATCTTGGGCAAGTAACACTCAATCCTGGAAGAAGACAAAGACAAACATCTGCCATGAAAATCCCAGGATAGGGTTTTCATAGGTCAGAGTTGATTTGGAGGCAAGTAACAACAACAAAGAGAAATGTGAACAGATATCTATTGGGACAGAGATATAATTACCGTGTAAATAGTTCCAAAGATGCCAATAACTTGTTAAAGAATGCATTGGCCAAGTAAAGTAAGCATCCCTTTGATGGACTGAGGAATTTGGACATAAAATATTAGTGATCCCCATAGGAGGGAATGAGGCACAAAAGCTGCCTAGAATATTGGCTGAATTGGATCCTTTTTGGCACAGAGATGTGTATGTATAGGATATCACTGTGGCAAAACTATTTTTGAATTGTTGCTTCAGAGCTTAAACTGGTTTATACATTTCCTTGGCTTCTTCAAACAACTCCCTGCAGCTTCAAGGTATGAAAATGAAAGAAGACACCAGCTTTGCTTTAAACAATTGATTCTTGGGATAAAAGGGAAAGAAAATTCCTGAGATCAGAACTAAGGATATTATTTACACTGTGCAAAGGGAACTGTCAACTTCTGAAATGAACAATCTGGCAGGCGGTTTATTAAATGGGACAAATGTTGCTGAGAAGATGATAAAATGTTGTCAACAGGGGACAGCATTCTTCAGCAATGTTGATGTTATGTACCTATTTGCATGATTCAAATTTGATTTAAATATTTGGAAAAATTCTTGTAAAGAACTTGGAAGACACTACGGCCAGCCTGCCACATTTGCAGGTTTAACCATTGTGATTTCATTATTGGCAGATGGGATTAATATGGTCTCTCTAGGAATCTCTAGGCCCTCTAGTATGAATCTGTGGTCAACTTCCACCAAAACTGGTAAAAGCTGATTTTTAAAAATCATGTTTTCCTCACTTTCTCAAGGGTTTTCCATCCTTAGCCCCAGCTTATGTGGAAGTCTGACTGTACATAACAATTATTTTGAAAAATCCAAACAAGTATGTCTCAAGTGCTTTCTGAAATGCAATAAGCCTTGTGGATCTTCTTGGGAAACAGATTATATCACAGAGAGTGTATCTATATTACAGAATTAATGCAGTTTGATAGTTCTTTAGTTGCCATTGCTCAAGGTTATGGGATCTTGGGAGTTGTAGTTTCATGAGGCACCAGCAATTTTTGGTGAATAAGGCTAAAGGTCTTGTAAAACTACAATTCCTATTATTCCATAGCACTGGGCCATGGCAGTTAGGGTGGTATTAAACTGCATTAATTCTTGAATGTAGATGCATTCAAAAATATCTGCATGTGGAACTTTAGAAGGCTGCCATCTTGGGTTTTTTCCTTTTTTGCTTAAGATAGCAGATTGTCTTAAACCTTGCCCTTTGTGGTTTATTGCCTCTCCCCCAAAGGCACAAAAATTGAGCAAGGCTATTATATTACAGCTTTTCATATTTTGGGAATAACCACAAGGAATCGGGAAGGGGGTTGAGCCTTTTGGATAATGCTGCATAAATGACTAAATCTGTGTAAGCAACAAATGGCTTAGATTTGCAGATTCTTGTGCACAGCAACATGGTTTGGGTACATGGCTCCATGTTGTGTTCCTCCCTGTAATGGCAAAAGCATCAAAGAACAGATGGCTGCTGTGGTTTACTTTGACAATATGGATCAGCTAATGGAGGGGAACAGAGAGAAGAGAAATGAGGTGTTTGGAATTATCCACCAGAAGATGCCTTGATTCGTACATATGCATTGCTGAACTGAAGTCTGTTTTCAGTAGCAGCTGCTGGAACTTCTTGTTTTTGCATATTATCCTTGTTCCCTCTAGGCAACAGGGCAGAAGTTCTGACCTACTGCAAAATCTGCTAATTTCTCCCTGGTTGTAGTAAGTGGGTAGTTCTCAGGCTAGGAGGTGCCATATCAATACAAGGAACTCTACTCTAGCAGGGGTCCTCAAGGATTACAGGTAATACAAGAAGGGCAATAGGGAGCATTAGAGCAAGGCCCGTATCAGGTTTAGACTGGAAAAGGGAGCAGTAAACCTTACTAGACAGAAGCATATGTGCACCAGCTGGAATTTTGGCAAAGGGAAGATAATTGAGACTATATTTTCCCTGAATCAAGTCAGCAAAGACAGAATAAGGCTTTTCTTTTGTTTTTGCTTGCCCGCTGCTTACTTTCTGCCTTGTTCTTAACTGAGTCTCCTGTTGCTATTTCATTCTGGTAATTTCCCCCTGTCCCAAGTTTCATAGCTAAAGAATACCCACACCAATTTGTAATTGACTACTTGCAAATAACCAGTTGCTTGTGTTCATTTCCGAAATACCAACGCTAAAACCACATTATATTTTCTATGTAGTTTTAGGAAGGATAACTTCATTCCTGTGCTGCAACTTTGATTGTAAAGAGAGGCACAAGGTCACACTGTAAGAAAGCATCTATTCTGAAGTCCCTTCCTGATATTATCTTGGAGGCATATATTTTTCATTAGTCCCACTCCCAAATCTGGAGGAGATGATATCCAGGTTATAGACAGGTAACTCGTGGTGTCTTTAGAGTTCTTCTCCAGCATCAGATTTTAAATAAACTGATTATCTTCCCATCAGCTTTTT